GATTTTGGTCACTTACAATCTCAAGACATATCTGTTTCAGATATGGGTATCTCAAGTGCGTCAGCTAATGATGATTCGAAACTCGATTGTATTTCATCAAAGGTGGGAAACGAAATAACAGAGGCAGTTGATCACAAAGAGAATCTTGTGGCTGAGAATTTAGGGGAAAGTCATTTGGCTAAAACAGAGACAGATTTAGGGTCTTTAAGTTTGACTGGAAGCGAATCTTCAGATGGGCAAAATAGCAGAAATATGAAAATGGAGTCGAAAACCGAGGCTAGTGAAGTAGGGGACTTGGTATCTGCGAATTCGACCCCTTCATTTGAAGAGGATAGCATCAGCCGTAATTCCGATACACGACCAACGACGAGTGAAGGAGAAACATCAAGCGGAAAAGACGACTGTGATTTGTTGCTGACTGACGTTTTGAAATCTGGTTCCGTCATGGCGGCTGATGTTAATGGCGCCGATCATATTGAAGAAGAACAATGGCGTGAAAATTCCGCGTTGGATGAAAAGGAAACAACATTTACGGATAACGTCGTTTCCATTTCAGAATTAGAACCAGCAATTGATGATAGGATTTTTAACAAAGACGACACAGGGATAACGCGACAGAGCGATCAGCATCCCTCTAAACGGGAGGCCGACGAAAATCACGTCACTAACGAAGTGTCAAAAGCGGTGGCGATAATACCGGCACATTTTCAGAAAAAATTTAAAGGCTCGGAGCTCTCAGCAACACCTCCTAAGAAAACACATAAAAGGAAAGTAGGAAGCACTAAACTGTGTACCCAAGCAGACGAAACGGAACGAGGTGCAGCTAAGAGTCACCTTGTGCCTAACGGACTGTGTAAATCTAAAGATGCAGCACGAGTGACCAAGGGTCCACCAGTAGAGGAGCACATTGTGACCCTGGACATTGTCGGTGCCGGTAAGAAAGAAGACAGAGAAACAAAGAGCGATCGAGTCAGCGTGTGTGTTGACAATTCGGATTGCGAATCGGAAACGTCATCATTATCCGAAGACACCACCTGTTGCCTTGAAAAATTTAGGTTTGTTCGGAAGCACTTGCTGACCCTCGCCATGGCACTCTCTCTAATATTCGGTGTTATCCTCGGCTCCTGTTTACGTGACAGCATTTCATCTCGGGACCAGCGCCGAATACTTTATCTCCGCTTCCCCGGGGAAATACTTGTTAACATTCTTCATATGTTGGTCATTCCTCTCACGTTGTCCACTTTAGTGTCCACTGTGGCTGCAATGGATACACGATCATTTCGAAAACTCGGTCTGCGTTCTTTATTTTACTATTTGATCACTACTTTTATTGCCTTAGTAACAGGGATAATTCTAGCCATGGCTGCCCAACCCGGAAAGTTTGACCAATTGTCCGGTAAAGGAAGGCCAGTTCCCAAAGTCAACCCGGTTGATGCTGTTCTGGATGTACTAAGGTGTGTAAAACAGTTTTATTTCTCACTCGTATGAATACATTTCTTGCAGTTTGTCTCGTATGTTTATCAGAAATAAGGAATCGAACAGCATTTCTATTAATTCCACTACGTCTTTATCAACAGTAAGTAAATCTAACCAAAATGATGTAATGGAAACCGATCAAATATTCTGAGTGCTAAAATAAAATCCGTTTATTTTACGTACTGATTGAGAGTTTGTTTAGAAAGCGTGAAACTTGTCTAACACACCGGGCAGCACAATAAACTCGTAGCCACAAACGTTGATGCATTTATCACCAGTGTAAAGGGATAAACAATCAGACAAAAAACACTTTTTAATATAACGTAAAAAAAACTTAGCAGTGATTCTCTGGTAGACACTGTGGAATGCTTTCATAACGAAATAGAGTCATTCTTTGGAGAACGAAACCATGGAAGAATCCTAGTTTAAGAGAATTACTCAAAAGTAAGGGGGAAACCTCACGATTCTTGCTATATTATTCATTATTGTTAATTATTTATATGACAGCAGATATCAATACCGCTTGCCTTAATTCCTACCTTTCTTTCCGATTTTCCATGCATTTTTCCCAGCAAAATTGTTTGCAAATTATTTTTATTATACATTCATTAGTAATGCATAAACATAGACTTATTCTGCCAGTAACATTTACCTTAATTGATGACCAATGAAAATTCTTTCTTCTCGATTTTCAATGTCCTATATGACAGCAACTAAATATTTTTCATGTAAAATTTTGTTAATCTAGTGTTAATGATAAATATTTCAATTTTTGTGCATAAAATGGCTAAAACTATATAGAGTAGGCAAAGTAGTGGTAAAGTCAGTGGGCAACAATAAGAAAGTCAAAATTTTGTTCATGTTTATATGCAGCCGGCAAAAAAAAAAAAAAAAAAAAAAAAATAAAATCTTCATTATTTTTTGTATTTTCCTTCGAGCACTAGAATTTGGCATTTACTTAATGATTAAACACGGATGAAAATTTTGACTATCTAAATCCTATCCGTGACATAGGATTAAATTAAGAGCTAATAATAATAGTAAGTTGATAATTATTCACAATAATTATTTAATGCAGGAAAGTGGGAATATTTTATAAAGGAGAGAGCGAGGTAAAGCGGTTTTTCAATTGGAATTACAAAAACTGTTTTATATGGAATTAAGTATCCAACGTAAATATAATCATGCGAGAAACGGCAAAATCCAAGTAGATACTCGAAACTTATTTGAACATGTTTATTATTATTATTATTATTATTATTATTATTATTATTGTTGAGGGTGTTGTTGTTGTACTATATATATATAATTATTTTATATAATATATAATTTATTTTAGTTTGAGGATTGTATTTCTGTCTGACAGTAACAACAAGCACGACGTTTGTTGTTACTGTCAGACAGAAATACAATCCTCAAGTACTAAAAAATAAATTTATATATATATATATATATGACAACACACCAGTATTTTAATGTTAAAAAGTTTACTCTGCGCAAGAACTACTTATTTTTCAGCATAATCTTTTTCCTTGTCAATGTACTTAATTTTGCATGAAATATTAATCCCGTACATTGAACATTATAAAGTTAATATGTGACATAAAAATTCAAGTATAGTCCTGATAATTCGCTTATATATATATATATATATATATATATATATATATATATATATATATATATATATATATATATATGTATGTATGTATGTATGTATGTATGTATGCTAACAGGGTCGAATTAGGAGAGCATGTTTCTACCATGTTATAAGGCGTGTTTGAATTGTATAAATTCTGAAATTTTGAGGAAGAATCACAAAAAATGAGAAATTAATCCCACAATACTCTTTTCTTATTCATACTGAATTTCTTATATTATAAGACGACGGCGTATTTATTCTAATAAATTCAGTCAACTTACGCAGTATTCGAAAATAAAAAAAAAACAAGAAAAAAAAAAAACAAGAAATTCTACAAGTTATAATTCGATGCATTCTTTGTTAGATGCTAAATATTTAGCAATAATAGCCTAAGAAGAGTTTTTTCCAACTATGTTCAGTTCTTTGCGTCTTTCACTCAACGAAATTAACCATTTTTTACAGACCGTGCCGTATAGAACTGCTACCATATTAAGTTGTATTCTTGCGGTTTTAATAACAAGTAAATTTGTACAATGTTAATATTCTAACCCCACGCCTGTTTAGAAAGTTCTAACTACCTTAATAGTTACTCATAGCTAGTAGGGCCAAGGAAAAAATTTGAGTATTTTCCAAAGAACTTAGTACGGAAGGAAGATTAACTGTCCAAGCCGGGGTTTGAACTCAGTCCCCTTCTCAGTGCAACCGTTAGACCACTCGCACCGACTTTTTCGAGCGAGTAAAATTATCTGATTTGTTTTTTTTTACGGCTTATCAACCCTTTGTCGGTTATTTAAAGCCGAAACGTATTGTAGAGGGTTGCTTATAGTACCCCGGTGTTCCCAAACGTACTGACCGGGCACGAGACTGCTTAACCTCGGTGATAGAACGAGGACGGGTGTGTTCAGCGGAATTTGAACGTAAGCGGGTAATATAATTAAGACATTATAACTGAATATAAATTATTTTAATATTTCGCCTTCATTCTGATGATTCTTAATGCTTCCTATCTGGTTGCATATCAGAATAAAGAATTTAAGCAAAAATATTTTACAAAATTAATCGAAGATATTTTTGTCCGTTTAGTAGACGTTCAAGAGAATCTGTGGGGAGAATAAACGATATTAAAGTGGACTTACGCTGCATCTCCCTTGCTTTTTTTTTTTTTAGCGCCAATTATAAACAGATACTACTCTTTTTCGTTCTTAAGATGTCTAAGAGACGTGTTGAAAAGTTTTCGGCCAAGCCAAAAAGCTCTAAAAGCAAAAAAAAAAAAAAAAAAGATCTGATGTTTGGTCATTTGGTTGACATCGGAGTTAGTGAATGTTGGACAGTCTCCCCAAAGATGACGAAAAATCTAGAAGCAGCAGAAAGTGGTTTTACAGAATGTTATCGAAAATTCTATGAACGGAGCGAGTAAGCAACAAGGAAATCTTAAAGAAAATGGAAACAGAACGAATACTTCTACTCATAGTGAGGAAAAGACAGCTGAAATTCCTTGGCCGGGCCGCATAATGAGGAAGGAGGGCTTGGAAAACTTAACACACACGGGACATATTGAGGGCAAGAGAGATAGGGGAAGGAAGCGAGCTACGTTCCTGACGAATAGATGGCGGAACAGGTGAGGCGGTAGCCTTAGCAAAAGGAGAAAAACGGCTAAGAGCCACAAGAGATAAAAGAATGTGAAGAGCCATGATCGCCTATGCACTAAGATTATTTGATATTCTGCTATTTCCTCGTGTTGAGTTTCTGCATATTTTTATTTTCTAGTATTCTTTATATCCAGTGACTAAGACCTGGTGCAAGAGGCAATCATTTTGGAAAGTTTAGTCTATTCTACTTTGAGAGGACTAGGCAACATATCGCCGATTTCTCTCAATTCGTCTGTTTCAGACTCCTGGTCGATCTCCAACTTATCTTGGCAAAACACTTGAAAATTTCTATTTGTATATTTTAGTATCGAAAAGAGCTGACGCATGAATTACCACACAGAAAACATTGGTACAGTGCGATCACTTTACTCCGACATGTAATAGTCCGGTAATTCTCATGGTCCGGTACCTTTTGAATCAGCCGCCATTATTTCGTGGAGCGGCTACAAGGGCTACTCCACATGTTGTTTACAACTTTCCGTAGCAGCCGACAGAAGCGTAGTCTTTTGGTGAAACAGACTTTTTTTTAAAAAAAAACTTTTCACCCCAAGTATGGCGGGAGTGCCACTAGTACGCACGGGTTTAGAGAAAGTTGGAGCAAGAGTAAAGAGGCGTGAAAGAGGAAAGGATGAAGAGAAGGACGGGGAATAGATCAAGGCATCTGGAGATATCGATTCATATTGCATTTGAATAGTTGGAGATTATAGCTACCAGGGAAGCAAGTAAGAGGAAGGGAGTTCCGCAGATGGGAAGTGCCAGATATGAAGCTATTGGAGTAGAAGAGACAACTACATTTAACCGTTTCGACAGTGAAAGGCCGGGACTGAGATGCGGACCTAGTGGCGCGTTTAAATTCATGCAGTTTGGGAACTAGCGAAAATAGCTCGTCGTAGCAGTTACCGTGAAAGTATTTGTAGAAAAGACAGAGGGAGGTGACGGCACGTCTGTCAGAGAGCGATTGTAAACGAGATGTCAGATCAGGGCCAATCATATTGCATATCCGTCTCTGAATTTTGTCGAGGGCCCTAAGAAGAACAGCTGGGTCTCCAGACCATATAATGGCAGCAGTATTCCATGCAAGTGCGAATGTTTGATTTATAGATTTACTCATTTCTTATATATAGCTGCATATTTACATATTCACGATAGTAAGTACATATATATTATTGAATATATTATTTTTATAGTGTTTATATTATTGTATACATTATTTTTTGGCTTTAGGCTTCTTTTTTTAGCTTTTTTACTGCATGAAAAAAATCAACTTTTTTTGGAAGCATTGATGATTGTTTTATTTTCTGTTTTAAGCATTGTTCTATATTTGATAATACAGCAATATATATGCGGAATGATCTGGCAAGACTATGTTTACATAGGGTTTTTTTAGGGTTTATTTCGGTCATCCGGCATTTTCTGTGGTACGGCTGTAGCCGGGTTGCATGGGTGCCGGATTAAAGAGGTCCGGTTGTGTAGTCAAATAGAGAGTATAGTGGGAACACGTGAAAATGGGACACAAGGTCAGTTTAAAGTGGGTTTACCGGCAATACCGGTAAAAAATTGCTCAAGACTTCTCGGCTTTTCCCCTTTCGGCGACGCCTCAGGTGCCGGGCAATGATTCCAGCCTCCTCCCCAAGGAGAGGTACTGCCTGGGAGGATGCCCCACATCAGAACCTGATCTAATAGTATTTTGAAACTTTATTCTCTTGCCAAAGATATGCTCTGAAAGAGCATCAACAGAACGAACAACTGAATATCAACTGAATATATATATATATATATATATATATATATATATATATATGGGGCGATAGGTAAATTGTCGCAGTTTTATATTTTTTAATTTCGCGCATGCGCGTTGTCTGTTTTTGATTTTATCGACTACACAGTATAGTTGGGTCAGTTGGGCACCGTCTGTGAAAAACGAGCACTATGACGTAATTTACTCCACCAGAAATTTGGAAACGGCATACTGTACTGCTTGGCATTTGCGCCGAAAGCTCCAATAAGAACATTTCAGAGTTTTTGGGTGTCAATCTGAGGACAGTGCAGATGATTCCAAAAGAGATGGATGAGTCTAATGGTGATTACGAAAGTAAAGCAGCTAGGAAAACTAATTCTGATCGTTCTGATAAGAAAAGAACTCCCAAATTTGTTGGTGAGTATCTCAGACTCAACACAGAGGCCTACATAAAGCGCCTTGAGGAGGTAGTACTGCCATGGATCAATTGGATGGTTGCTGGAAGATCCTATATCTGGCAACAGGACTCTGCACCATGCCACACAAGTAGTAAGAACCCAGTCATGGCTATCAGACAATTACTGCGACCACATTACCCCTTACAGCTGGCCACCTAACTTCCCAGACTGCTACCCACTTTGGTTATTATGTGTGAGGTGCAGTTAAGCGAGAGACGAACTGAAGGCAAGGATTATGGCAGCATTTACCAACGTAAACAGGGAGAACGTCAAGAAGAGTTGTAGGAAATTCTGAAGTTGTCTGGAGGCTGTGGTTGAAGCCAATGGTGATTTTATTGAACAAATTTACTCTTTAGTATTTAAGAATATTTGTGTGTAATTTTGGTAAATATATATGTTAAAATGAGATGTCACTGTCATTTTTAGAAATTTAGAGAATCTATCTCATTCTGTTCTTTATCTATCTATCTATCTATCTATCTATCTATCTATCTATCTATTTCGGTTCTTTATCTATCTATGTATGTATGCAAATAATTTAGAATTCTGTCTGAAGCTAATTATAATATAATTTCTATATATTCAATATTAGATTCCTTCGGAATATCAGAGCATTGCATTATTCATTGAGCTAGAAATGTCTCGTCAATCAGTTTCACTAAATTATTATTATTATCTTGAAGAAAAACCTAATATCAAAATGAATGATATCTTGATTTCTATTTGGCTTACGTCTATATCACATTGATACAACGGTTCTTAATCGATCACTGAAGTAACCTTGTACCCGGTCAGTATCTAGATGGGTGACTGCTAGAGAATACCAGGGGCTGTAAATCCCCACCAACAAGTTAGCGGACTCACGCAGTAGGGTGATGACCAGTTCCTCCCTATGAACGGCAAAGGGAAGGCCGACGTCTACAAGAAAGAACTTTCACAGACTGATTAATAATTCTCTGTGTGTAAGAGAAAGATAGGTGGAAATAGAAGAGGAGACGGAAAATTATATGGTTTTAAGCCCCTAAATTATGGACGCATAACAGTTTATCTATCTTGAAGTTCATCATTTATTCCCTTTATGTTATCGATCTGTGTTGAAGCAATCAGAATAAGATTGAATTGTTTTCACCAAGACTTTGATACTCATTTATTAGCTCGAAATTAAACCAACCATGATTACACTAACATGGCTAAAGATCCTTGTTGTTGTTATCAAAACGTTTCGACGTTGTGCCCTCCAACCTTCATCAGGAGTATATCGATCCAGGAAACCTACAGAGAATGAAAATATTGGACAAGGAAGAACACTGGAAAGTTAAACGTCTGAAAGATTCAGCTAGGCTATGAGGATCTTCTCAGTTGGCTTAGCATAGAAATAATTACTGTAGAGTAAGCGGCCATAGTTAAACTGCCAACCAAACACAATTTACAAAGTTTGTAATAAACTATAACAAGAAAAGAAAAGAACAGGACAAAAACAATGTTAAGCAAGGAAAACGGCATATGCAAAACAAAGCAACGGTAATAAGGCAAAAAGTTCACAAACTAAGAATTGGGGTTGACACACAAGAGCGGATTCTGATAAACGAACGTAGCGTTCTGACTTCAAGACACGACAAACCGGGACTGAGTCAGAGGAGACCGAGAATTGGCCCATCTTTTTGGCTAGGAAGAAATCCCAGCATGCATTTGTGCGGTTTTACCTATGCATTGGGGAAGGGGAAGTATTTTTCAACCATTCACACTAGGAGTAAATGATATAGGTGCCGTTAATAAAGAAATAAAAAACAAATAATAGCAAGCAGAAGTTGTAACAAAAAGGGAAAAAGCTTCAGGGGGTGCAGTTAATTTTTCTAATTCCTCCACACCCTGTAACCACTTGTGTTTTAGTGGCTGTACTGCCTTGCTTGGCGTGATATCGATTAAAAGAATATTAAAAAAAAGGAAAAAAAAAACAAAAAAACAATGGACTGAACGACGAAGTTTTAGAGAAAATGGAAAAAAATAGGACACTTATACTTAGAATCAGAAAGAGACAGTTGAAATTTCTAGGGGACATAATGAGAAAAGAGGACTGGGAAAGTTTAATAATCACAGGACAAGAGGGACAAAGAAAAACAGCGACTAACTTTCCTAACGTTCTTATATAAATGGTTGTCAGAACAGGGATTTAGAGCGATAGCAAAAAGGCAAATATTGCTACAAGATACAAAGGAAAGGAAGTTGTGTAAAGACATGATCACGGCAGCAAGAAGAAGAAGGAGGAGGAGAATAATAATAATAATAATAATAATAATATTTCATTACGATCGAAAGGGTCAACACGAACGAGTCTTATAAAACAGTGTAAAACGTTTAGAAAATTAACCAAGAACTGATTTCAAAATTTATATAAAGGTAAGCAAAATGAGAAACTAGAATTTTGACAGTTTGATCAAAGAACAGATGTTTACTGATAGCAAGTATTTTACAGCGACTTGAGTTAGTTTATTTATATATTGACTTAAAACGTAATAACCACAGAAGTTCAACTAAGGTGACATTGCTTGTTGGTTCAGCTACGTCACACAAGAAGCAACTAAGATTTTCTTTTATAGATGTTTTCAATAGCAAGAGACCAAAATCGATCAACACCAACCAATTTAATTTAAAAAAAAATTACCATTATGTGCCAACAGGATACTTGATAATGAATTGTAATTCTTCTTTTATGTGCCGTATCTGTTCAGGACGTAGGCGATCATAACTCTCCACTTCTCCCTACCCCTTGTAGCTCTCAATAAGTTTTGTCCTACTTCTCTCAAACCCTGTTCTGTCATGCACTTGCTTAAGCCCGCTAAGTATGTCACGCGTTGCTTTTCCTCGTCTCTCTTTACCTCTATTCGCCCTGTGAGTATCAGATTCTCGAAGCCCTCCTTTCTCATTACGTGTCCCAGAAATTTCAGCTGCCTCTTCCTGATGTTAAGTATAAGCTTCCTCCTTGTTTGAACATGAGTTAACGGTTTTCTGTCGACATCATCAGATTTATGGTTTGAATTATTAGCTAAAAACAAGCATACAATATAATAACTTGATTAATCCATAACCCAATCATCAGATTCATGGTCTGAATAATTAGCTAAGAACAAGCATACAATATAATAACTTTCATAATCCATAGCCCAAATAAATAGTTTAAATACCCTACAAAAAAGATAACCCTTTATGAAGTCGTCAAAAAACAAACGTTACGGCAGTTTTTTATATGCACAAATCCCTTTCATAAAAAAATAAAATAAAAATAAAAAAATCTCCATAGACACGCATACCAGACTAGGGTTAATACATCTTCCGTTTCAAATTTAGACACCCCCATTTCAATTATTAAAACACGTAAATTTCACAAATACGTTATTCCCCAAAAAATTTCGCTTGAAGATAGAACAGAGCTTACTTTAACTCAATTTAATTCAAATAATTATATTGAAGTTTTCGGCTCTTGTTTTGAAACATGAGACCACTTATGTCGCGAGTTGGAATCATATTTTTAGATAAATAATTATATATATATATATATATATATATATATATATGTGTGTGTGTGTGTGTGTGTGTTTAGTGGATACTCGTATGTTTCTTTGTAAATAAAAAGCACAAAACATCTTACATAGGATATACCACAACCACACTCTCACAGAGGCTCACTCAGAGGTCGAAGTTATATATATATATAAAATATTACAAGTAAAATGTTTGGCACTTGGCTGATACATGTTACTTACCCGACTCCAGAGTTTCGTAGACAGATCCCCTGGGAAACACCCCGTTCACTCGTCAAGGGCTATCAACAATTCACAGGGTAATACACACACACACACACACACACACATATATATATATATATATATATTATCTCTTCTACTTTACATCGAGCACTTTGTTTTTTAACCGCCTCACTCACTGTACAACACACACACACACACACACACACATACATACATACATATATATATATATATATATATATATATATATATATATATATAATTAGAGGATTTTCGTTTTTCGTTTTTGGACAGTATTTTTAGTGGACACCCGTATTTGAGTAGACACTCCGCTTATTTTAAACAGTGTTTGTTTCGTCTACCTGCCTGCATACCCGAGAAGACTTAATAAAGAAAATGTGTCCTCGGGTAGGATTCGAACCTGCGTCCACTTTGTAGGAGGATTCACCGTCTGTTCAAACCAAGTTAAGCGAAATTTACAATTTACATTTCCTCTTTACAGAAATATTTTTTGTAACGTCCATTTCATTGATGGACAGGTTATTTCCACGTTAAATATTTTTTGTCCGTCCCACCTGCTACGCCAAAGTTTACCAGAAGGAGAATCAATGGCAAGAAATGTCTAAAAACATACAGTGTATCAAATTTGTTTTTGTAAGAAAGGAATTGAGATATTTTCACACAATATTTCGACAATGAACGTCGAACTTTTACGATTAATACAAATAACAGAACAAGATTCTATATTGTCATTTAGAAAAGAGGCATGTTTAATCGGATAATTTTCTGAAACAACTTATACAGTGAATTCTTTTTTATTAGTTGTAATTTTTTATTAGTCATTGTCAGTATTTATTAAAATATTGATAATAATTTGTTTTTGGAGTTGTCAGATTATATTATGCAAGCAAACTAACTAAAACGCAACACTAAGATATCAGCCATATAAACTTGTACCAGATTAACACAATATCTGATATAGCTGAATAAAGTATTATTCTATTATCTGCCATATTGGCTCCTTGGCGTTCTATAGCTTTCACCCGTCTTTTACTAATGATTGTCTTAATTTTACTACCGTTTTAACTTGCAGGACTTTTTATTACTTCTTAGATCTATTCCCTGTAGGTTACCCTGATTGGCACGCACCTGATGAAGGCCGGAGTGCACAACGGCCGAAATGATGTGATAGCAACAGCAAAGATGAGGACGATAGTCCGCTTATAAATAATATAAATAAATATTAGATCTTAGTAAAATGTTTAGGATATATTACATATATTTCTATCGTGTGAGTTTCCGTCTATAATATCTATCCTTAGCAAAAAATATTGTTTTTATAGGTGTCAAATATTTGTTATAAAAATAATTGCAGTGTATGTTTCTATTTATAAATAAACCCCAAAGATACACTTCACAGAAACCTGTACTTGATTAACACAATATCCGATATAGATGGATAAATTATTATTCTATTATCTTACATCATAATATTGGATACTTGACATTCTATAACTTTCACATGTCTAATCTTAGTCCTTTTATTAGTTAGTTTCGGAAGCCATTCTTAGAATTTTTTTTACTGGACGTGGACTCCAAGAATGCTGAAATTATAGAAAGGTTTTCCTAATCTATGAAGGAGGAAAATATATTAACTTTAATTTTACACTGTATGTAAAAGTCTGTCGAGGCATTTTGATGTGACTGAACATGGCATTCCCTGGTGTTTCATATAAACATTAAACATGAGGAGACGAACAGAAATGAAACAGG